CCGCTGCGGGCCTCCGGAGCTGAGCTCTAGGTAGGCGGCTCGCTTGCGCCGTCCTCCACGGTGCCGGGTTGTGGCTGGCCCGTTCGAGTCACCGCGACAGAAGGGTCGCGTCGCAGCACAATGCTCCTCCCATAGGCGATGCGCTGTGAATATCCGTGAATGACCAAGTCAAGACGGCGTCGGTCGTCTGGCGCAACGCGGGGAGCAGTCGTGGCGCAGAGCCACTGCTGCGGGACCACCTGGCCATCTGCCCTAACGGCTTCACGCGCAACTGTCACCCACACCCGTTCGACGATCTTGGCTCGCCGAGCCNNCCCAGTGCGAGGGCAGGCCAAGGCATGGTCGCCGAAGACGTCGACGAGCCCGCCGCATCCGGGCAAGGGGCCGCACCGATTTAGACGGAGGGGGAGTGGGAGGCGCAAACGGCGGCACAACGCAAGCTGCATGGCTTGCGGGGACAGCGTGGTGGCTGGGCCGGCCGGGATGGCGGTTAACCAGGCCCCCGCGTGCGGCCCAGCGTGAGAGCGCAAGAGCGCGCAGGCGCTGGGCGACATGTCTGGTAGCAACGTGCGCTGGCGGAGGTGTAGGTCGCGAGTGCGCGACGCACTGTGCTGCCAGCCATGCGGCAAGTCACCAAGGCTCCTGTCAGTCGCCACTGGTGGGCGGGCGCCATCCGCGATTGCTCGCCAGGACGGGCACTCCTGCCAGCCCTCAGGTTGAAGGAGGTTGCGTGCCACCGCTGCACTACGGAGGCAAGCCGTTTCTGCGTCCCTTCCCTCCAGTTCGCGGACGCTCGCATGCCTCGGCCAAAGCCGGGGCAGGCTCGCCGATCACAGGGAGTGCGTCAGCCCATGCCGCCCAGTACGCTGCGGGCGCGGTACGGACCGCGCTGGCTAGGCCAAGGCCGCCAAGCGACGCTGGGAAGAGTCGCCAGTTTCCGTGCGCCGTCCGCCTCGCCAGACGCGACTCCGCCGAGGCAGGCCTGCAAGGTCTCCCATGCGGCGTCGTATGGCGTCGTCATGGGCTTGGGCATAGCCGGCTATGTCGAGCGGCGGCACCGTGCGGAGCGCGTGGTTGGCCCGCGGCGAGGCACACATAGCGAGGAGGAGCCACGCACATTGTAAGTCGGGGAGGCGGTGTCACTGGTTCAAAAGCTCTCGTTCAGTGAGCATCCTGCTTTCCGCCCAGGATGTGATGAAATGCGGGTGGCCGATGGGTGTGCCCAGGACCTTCAAGCCGCGCTCGGTTGATCGCTTGTTTCCCCGCCAGACGTCAGCACCTAGCTCGGCGATTCCTGGTGGGGGCGTCCGCCGGCATGACTGCACACCCGAGTCTTGCCCTCATTGGAAGCTACGCATGCCGCATCCTTCCTGCACTGCCTGCACCACGGTGTCGCGAGCCTCGCGTGCACGCTCCCGTGTGATCAGGACGTACAAATCATCAAGGAACGCCAGGAGTCGCTCGGAAGAATGGGAGTGCGGACGAGGCCTGGCATAAAGCGGCATGCTGGGCGAGGGTGAAAGCGAATTTACTCGATCTCCGGTTCGCTGATGATATCCTCCTGTTCGCACAATCAGCGCACGAAGCCGTAACCTTGCTACAAAGTTTGATGCGGCATCTTCGGCAAGTTTCTTTAATCCTGAATGCGAGCAAGACGAAGGTGTTGACAACAGAAGCACAACCACCTTCATGCTTGTTTATCCAGGGAGCAGATCCGATACTAGTCTTGGAACGGGAAGGGTGCCATAAATGGTTTGGGTGTATGTTGTCCACAGCAACCTCGGACGCAGTGAAACCAGACCTGGACTTCCATTTGCAGAATGCG